GTATAACGCTAATTCACGTAAATATTTAAGAAAATTACAATCTAATGTATGCAATCGTACGTGCTATAAAGCGAATTGTCTGAAGGAAGATGCCCTTAGGTATACTTATACATTTTTATATAACTACCTTTTATTTTTAATAAGGCTTACCAACGAGCTACCTCATTTCATGCGATATGATAAAAATCTTAGGATAAATATTTTATATTTACTTTGAAATCCATTTTTTATCATCATCTTTTCACTCTTGTCAAAAATAGATTTTTATTTTTAATTGATTGAGATAACTCTTGCATAGAACCTTTTATCTTAGCTGATTCGGTCCGATTACATTTGCTCTAGTTCCATAGTACAGGTTTAGATCACTTTCGTTCCATGATCGTCATCGGTAAGAAATTCAGTTATAATAATCCTACAATCCACCATTTATACAACTTTTTTTATTGTTCACAGCTAAAATTCGGACTGTTTACTCTACTTTTTTTCCAAAGAAGCGACCGTCTTCCAATAAGCGCACCTCAACTTTTGCTTCGCGATCTTCCTCTAAATCCTCTTCTACCTCGAATCACCGAAATCGGCCCATCTGGCTTGCAGCCAAGGCTACCAAGCATCATCAGTGTACCTCAATTCCTTCCTCTTCTCACCAACCTGTATCTTCCTCTGCCACTTCTCTTCAATCTCCGACCCACCCACTAGCTCCAGTCTCGGGCTCAAATGAACAATCATCGATTTCTTCTTCCCTTTCCCGTAGTCACCGAAGGAATTCGGAGACGACCATTGCTTCCAACCCGGCCTCAAAAAATCCTTGGCGGAGGAGTTGCAGGCCGGCGGCCAGGCGTGCCCAGGAAGCTCGTCTTCGACGCGTGGTACAACCAGTTGTCAGATCTGTGAGATATAATTGGGTTTGGAAGCATTCGTTTTACAACTTATATCCCCACTAAACAAAACAACTTGGAGCTTATGTGTGGATAAACATGTTATCTGCAATTCTTCCAATTTTTGCTAAGCTTGCTGCTTTTATTAGCAATACATTTGAACCTAAGTTGTGTTAAATCATATCTATCAGAATACACTTCTAAAAGCTTGATCAGCATAATCCATAAGAATAAAAGGATTTTCAGCTTTGCTTTAAAAGATCAACTCGCAATGCTTTGGTGTATAGAATGCACTATGGTTTACTAACTCATTCTGGGGTGTTCAGAATTAATACTGCATAAGACTCTTCCAAGCTAGCACTGTAATGTAAGCCTATCCAATTAGTAAAATATGAGTGATTCGGCATATGTTGCTCATACTATTCTTTCGTTGAATAATGTGAATCGTTGGTAAACATCGGATAAGCATCATATTTTCACTACTAAATGAATACTTAAACTAAATCAAGAATTCTCTTAAATAGGAAGACCAAGATGGCGTGGCCTATTTGGTCGCTGTCTCCTTTAGCCTTATACTATTGCTTCAACCTTGTTTTCGCAACTTGGTCGCAGTGTCAGGGAAACCTTGGGGAACATACCTAGCCCTGTGTATTCTGTCATAGTGTTCGTGATTTCCAGTATCTAAATATTGATTTGCTAAATTCCCAATCATTTCGCCGGCATCGTCGGCACAGAGTTACAACTTAGATAAATGAAGACAATCTCCTTGGTCAATTTTATGTTCAACCGTTGTGGCATCACTCCTTGCCTCTATTTTTGTCCTACCTTCTTGTGCTGCACCTCATCCCAACCCCACTTCATATGGCCCACCTACACATTCACACAATTCTGTGCTATCGTTTCCTCCAATGTCACTTTATTGGAAGCATAATACTCTTCACCACTGGCACCAGGTGCCGTATGCAGGGCTCCTGACCTTCATTCAGCCCCCTCTTCTCCTAA